CGGTGGGACCATGAGAACTCTACTAGATGAAATACGAACAACAAACACTATTTGCACATTGGTCGAGACCATAATTGTGGACACATACTTTCGGGCGTTTCCGTCGGGCCTCTAAGTTTCCGTAGTTCGCGGCGGAAGCCATCTTCCGGGGGGGATTCGCAGGTAGAATATCTGGTATGGCAATCGCGTCAATATAGCGAACTATGGGTCCAGGGTTGCAAATCAAAGAGCGTACATCTTTAGAGCGAAGTCAGTCTAGAGCACAGTCAAGATGTACATAGTCTTACCGGCGGAACTAGCGAGCATTGACCGTACGTAGGGGCGGAGGGTTTCCAGCTAACAACCACCGTCTCTTAACGTTCAACTATAGAGGCTACGGCTGTTGTAGGGTTGTCCAGCGTTGTCAGACTCAGGTTCTCAGTGAAGACTGCGCTCTATGTCCCTTTTTCCATTAAGAGGCTGTTGACGACCTATACTTGTGGGACCCCCCGGTAATAGTAAATTCTCTGACCCTGAACACAGCACTTCCCGTTTCTAGCTCCCCCTTTGACGTATATAAGGAACATCTATTCCTTTTTATGAATGGAAGAGATGCGTCCTTTTACATCTTGGTCCCCCGGCTCACGTTTTACTAACTGGCTTTGCACGCGGGATCGCTCGCATACAAGCCCGGATCAGCATTGGGGCTGGCTTAGCCCCGTCATGTCGGTTTAGTTCTTCGATGAATGTCATGTTGGATCCAGTGACTCCGGTTATCTCCCGGCAGCGTCCGTGATCGAAGCTGTGGCTGCTTCTGGTAGCGCTTATGACGATATGCGAGCGTCGTCCCTTGTGCGCCAAGTGCAGTATGCACGTAACGAGTTAGGTGCCAGAGATTTGGACTGACCGTGATGCCGAAAAATATACAGCCAGCAGGCCCCGAGTTGGTAGGTTCCCGCACTAGGCGCCGAAACTTTCGACAGATTAGAACCATTTAAGTGATAAGGAACAATGTACCGCGAACAATGAGGTCTAGTGGTAGCAAGTAGGGCCCCGCCTGTGCTAAGAAAATATCTACCGAGAGAACGGCCTCTAATGGGTTGCGGAAATGGGGATCTAGCGAGCGAAGCTCGGGTCATACGCATATCAATGCGACGTCAGCAACGCTTCGTTCAGCACATAGAAATATTATGTGGCTATCTAGCCGGCCTGAAACCCGTGGTAGGCCGATATATAGAGACCCTTGCGATAAGACATATCGTCTTAGGTTTGCTAAGCCTTGCATGCGGTCAGGTAGTTAATCTTCTCGTCGCGCATAGGTTGACCGAATTAGAACACATCTAGCATTATACGTGCGCCCAAGTGGATTTTAGGGTCAAGCGTTCGCTCGCTGCGAGACAATCCCCGTATATGTATAGCCTGGCACAGATGGCTACCGGGTCAGAATCAGCAAAGAGCAGGGCGGATCATAGCCACTGCAGCAACTCTTTCGTGTCATGCTAAGTGAAATGCTGATTTCATAACTCTGTAAAACCGAACCGGTCTGTAAAGGGCCACCGGAATGGTTAGGTCGAAAGTAATCCTTGGAGGACGCTTCTCCCCCTATGTTCTACGCTACCGCATTAGGCTAGCACACATACCATACATCAATGCCACTACCCTTGGAGTTTGCGCTTAAGGCGAATGCGGAATATACCCGCGTTCTAGTGTGTGCCGTTCAGTAGTCGGCCATAGTAAGCCAGCACGTATTGAACGCTGGAATGAGGCCCAGCTGACAGGGTCCCCATCGGCACCCCTCATTGTCCCGCCATGTGTCCTGCACAGGAGCTTTGGCAAAGTATGAGATCCGGGCTGCTTTAGGGAACTAACATTGTCCATTCGGAGACTAAGTGCAGCAGTGGCGACACTACTAGCTGTAGTCTCTCCAAGAGTACTGATCCGGGGAGATCATCTCCTTGCAACGCGCGGAATATCAGACCAAGAAAGTTTGGCACATCCGAACTATGTACAGTCCTAGGGTTACACCTTTCCTTAGTCAAGGGAAAGAGTATACACTCTCAATGCTGGGAGATGCGGTATCCAGACGTGTTCCAACCAACCCCCCTTCCTCGTGGCCTCAGTGCTTGAATTGATTCCGGCCAGCTAACTCGAAGTTAGACAAGTGGAGGGTACAGTTATACCAGAGGCGATCACAAATCAACCCACTGCGGCCAGGTCTAGCTTGATATCGGTGACCGCGCGCGTTGCACCTTGAAATTCGCAAGAGGCAACATAAAGTCCGATGTGAGAGGCCCTATCTCTTGGCAGCCTAATCACGAAAAATGCGAGATAGCAAGGACATTCTGAGCAATAGGTAGGCGCCTAAGGAGCCATTTATCCGGATTCGCGTAGACCAACTACGAGATTCGGGTTGCCTCTCTTGCGAAGGCAGGAGGTTGAACCAGCCTTCTGTTGGCGGTATAGAGCACACGGCATTTGGGGTCAACGTGACGACCGGTTGCTAGGTGTAGCTGCTACTGTCCTATCTTTGGAACGACTAAGTAAGGGGCATCAGCCGCCCACAGGGGTCCCGCTGGTCCCTGTTGAGCAGCGAGCAATTTTCCTATACATGGGGTGTTCTGGATCAAGGGACATGCAATTTACCTTGTTGGGTCCATACCATGCAGACATGGAAAGCGTAGGACCACGGGTGTTTCCCCGCGTAGTCTGTAGCAATAGAGCATATATCGGTCCACGTCCACGCGAAGATACCCGTACCGCCGCACACTGGATTTACTGGACGAAGACGCTCGACTACCGCGGGAGTAAGGTCAAGAACCCGCTGACCAGTCAGGCATTGTCGCACAAAGTATTATTGAGGAATGGTAAGTTGAGAGCGCAGTACTACCTATTCGATAACGATCAACGGATCTTGCGAGCTTTGGACAAATTATAGACCGCCTGAAGATGCTCTATTTATGGCCCGATTGATGGGCGGTCAACACAACCAAGTGGAGACGGTCGCGCAAGATTATGCTGTGCGAGATCAGATCGCAGCCCAGGGGGCCTACTGGCATTCGATGTTTTCCAGGTAAAGGTCGCTAGCAATCTGATATAGGTTACTGCTGTAGAATTCAGCTTGTCTTATCTGCATTAAAGCCCGTAGTACTAAAACTTGCTGATCAGCATCCATAACCCGTACAGCACTTAATGGCTGGTAGTAGCAAGGACCCCACGCATAATAAGCGTCTCTGCCTGGACTTCTGACGAGAGACGGGATAACGTCTCTGGCATTCCTTTGGCGGATGAGTCAATTATGAGGACGTCATTCCGGGGGCGTTGGCGCACATCGCCTACCTGGCGGTGGAGATGCGAAATACGCGTTTGGGAGTTACTCCGGATCCATAGGTTATGCAAATACCCCGCTGAGGGAGACGAGGAGAGGGAGCGACCTAGCAATATACTGACCCTAATTATGCAAACGACCAACCCCCACCTCCTATAATGCTGTCGCTAGAAGTTCCTTACTTAAGGCCGGCCGTGAACGGACACAGATAAAAGAATGCTAGTGCCTGAAGACACATCTAAAAGAACAGACAGTTAGCCGGGTTTTGGCGACTGTAGGTACCCACCCTTTTTGTCCTTAATGGCGGGAATTGTAAGTGTACGTGTTTTTATTTCCATTGGCACTACTAAGAGTCAAGCTTACCACTCCTACCGTGTCCAACTGTTTAGCGAGGTGGTAGACGTCGGGTCCGGTTCTTAGATTTCATCTCAGACGCTGGACTAGAGACTTTCAGCACCATTAGTGTGCCTGGCGAAAGCTTTAAGAGGCAGCTACCATGGTGGTAGTGCCAGCCCAAGGGCTCATCGGGAAGTTAATTTGCCGGGCTCAAAATGCCTAATGACCCACGAATGTATGCATTGTGCCGGGGGGATCGACGCAAGGCACTGTGTGTCGTTGAAAGATAAGGATCGAACGGTTACATTTTCCTGTACTAGTTGGACGATCCTACGATGGCTGCACATGCGAGCATCCTTGTCAAACTGACTGGTGCCTGCACCTACCTGGTAGGTGGTTTACCTTGTATCAATTCCTCACAGGCGGGCGATATTGTATACGAGCGATGTCCGCCACACCCATACTAAGATGTTGTCTTCGTGGTAGGAAAACATAACGCGGACACTTTGTGATATTATTATACCCATCTGGGGGATGCTCTAATGGATGCGTGACGTGTAAAGTCTTATAAAACGAGGATCAGACAGTTTACTACGCAGGTACTATAACTAGGGCGCAGATCGGACCCTACCAAAGTCTGATTGGCAGTTTCATGACGATTGAAACATCTTACTCTTATGGTGGCTCCCCCTCCTATTGACAAGCAGTGAGTCTAATCAATTTGGTCGGGTAGCCGAAGTCGGCTTCGTGGCGGTAATATGGGTACTAGGGCGCGTCACATCGAACCGTCGCTCGGGGTAACTAGCGGTGAAACGGCTCCCTTGACGACTTCGCTATGCAAAACATATTCAGGGACGCCTCACAATGGTTACCATCTAACTGTTATAGCGCTATGAGGCCCTAAATCAGTATTGCCAGAAAAGGATTTAGAGAGACAAGCAATAGCTTTTATGGCTAACTTTGATGGAAGGATAACTTAATATTCCGGAACGCCTAAGAGGGCGGACAATGTGTGAGGGGTTTATTTATTTGAAGTAAGCCTTGGGCTTAGAGGGCACGGGCATCCAAGGTGCTATTCGAAGTTTCAAAACCCGCTGATCATAAAGTCGCAAAGGTTTGCTCTGTAGATTCTGGACGAGTGCGGAGCTTCGATTAAGCACAGAGTTAGAACCAACGTGAAGGGACGAAGGCAACGAGTGGTCGACAGGGAAATGACTGTTCCGGGAGGGACTGCAGACGGCTAAAGTATAAGGGCAAAGTTCCACGCTCTCGGCACTACGAGAGTGGGAAGTAAGAGAAATGCTACTATTCTTTCGTTTGTGCAGGTGCGGACATCAGACATCTGAGGAATTTTTAGAAGCAGATCGACGCCATTCGCCACCATGCTGTAACTAATGCGGATTCTCCGTGACCGCCGCTGCCAGTGCAGAGTGGTCTGACTGCCCCGTACCGGAGGGTTATATGGTAGAGGGCTCATTGCCAACCAACCCCCGATCCTTGTGGAATGATCCTACATCCTAGGCCGCCGCCTATGTGGGTTTCGGACACTTGCCTGATGTGCATTAAGGACAACCGTCAGCATGTTTGTCTATAATGCAGAAAAAAGCGGGTAAGAGGATTGGCCTGTTTTGGGCCTGATACCCTAGACTTCATCTAAGAGCCCCCTTGTAATAGGCGCCACAGTGCGGGGACAATTGACGCACGATAAGTCTGTCCTACTGGGATTGTAGTACGAATCACGAAGGGCCCCATGTAACAATTAAAGGATGGGTGACGCTCTTTGTGACCCTTCCCGTCGCAATGGCCTCAGTGTTTAACGTTACACTGGTCGCCTGTTCCTTTCTGAACTCATTGTTGCGAGAAGGGATGTAGGTGAACCCAAAATACGGTATAATGCTGCTGCGACATGACATGCTGATCTTAGACCGCTCTGGGATTGATTAGTACTCCATGACAACTCTTATGAGAACACGAACCAAAGGCTTATCAGTACGAAATTCAGGGCTCGGAGCTTAGATGCTTAGGTAGACTTAAAAGACACTATGATAGCCACCACTGGAGATTTCCCGCCGAAGACTTCCCTGGGCAGCTATTAGAAAGAACTTTTGAACTGGAATTGGTAGGTTTGGGGAGCCTGGTCTTAGCGAATCAGACGATACTATCGGAGGAGCTTAAACTCATTGTTCACTTTCAAGTTCCTAAAGTTAACATTCTAAAGGGACGTGAATGGGACGAATTCTAGCCA